TGAGATCATGTTCATGAAAATGTTAGGGTCTGGGCTGGGCATGGTGGCTCATGCCTGTCATCCCAGCACTTTGAGAGGGTGAGGCTTGCAGATTGCTTGAGCTCAGGAGTTCGAGACCAGCGTGGGCAACATGGCAAAACCCCATCTCTACAAAAAATACTTTCTGAGTACGGTGTATGGAGAATGGCCATGTAGCCAAAAATGCTGAAGAATTAAGAGTTGGAAGGTCAGATCAAGCTGGGGCCCAGGCCTGGCTCTGCCTGTTATAGCTTAGCATGTCACACAGCCTCTCTGGAACACTTGTTTCTTCATCTGTAAGACAGAAATTATAATTCCAACATCACAGAATTGTTATGAGATAATACATGTAACACAATTAGCCCTGTCCCTGGCATATAGAAAACCTTCAGTAAGTAGATGATAGCTTTACAGGCAGCTACTTGGAGCCACCAATTCTACTGATTAGAAACAAGCCTATACCTATATACATACTTATATTACCTTAGAAAATGTAAATGTTGGCCAGGCGCGGTGGCTCACACCTGTAATCCCAGCCCTTTGGAAGGCTGAGGCAGGTGGATCGCTTAAGGAGTTTAATACCAGCCTGGCCAACATGATGAAACCCTGTCTCTACTAAAAATACAAAAATTAGCTGGGTGTGGTAGTGAGTGCCTGAGTAACAGTTACTCAGGAGGCTGAGGCAGGGGCATTGCTTGAACCCAGGAGGCAGAGGTTGTAGTGAGCCAAGAGTATACCGCTGCACTCCAGCCTGGGCGATGGGAACGAAACCCTGTCTCAGAAAAATTAAAAAAAAAAAAAAGAAAATGTAACTGTTAATGTCACCTTATCTCCCTTGAATCTGAAACTAGTTCTTATGAAACTAGTCTGTTTGTACCCCAGTAGAGTCATTTAACCACTCTAGGAGTTGGTTTTCTAGTCGTTTCCAGTGCCTCTTCCACCTCACTTCTCTCTAGCTTCTGTGGGCTTTTGGGAAGCAAGGACTATTTGTCTTTTTCTAAATCGATGCATAATTATACCTACTTATGGGGTATCTATGATATTTTGATACATGCATACAATGTCCAGTAATCCAATTGGGGTAACGAGAATATCCTTCCCCTTGAACTTATTATCTTTTTGTGTTGGGAACATTTCAAATCTTCCAGCTATTTTGAAATGTGCAATACATCAGTGTTAACCGTAGTCACCCTACTGTGCTGTCTAACATGAAACTTATTCCTTCTATCTAATTCTATTTTTGTACACATTAACCAATCTCTTTTCATCTCCTGCCCCCACTTCCCAGCCACTGACCTATTTTGTTCATATTTGGTTCCCCACTCCAAACACATAATACTCTGTAAATGCTTCACTTCGTCATATTTACCTCTAAACAATCAGGAAGGCCATTTGACATCCGTGAATGCTTTTTGGTTTCCTTAGGTCATGTGCACTGTCACCTGAGACATCCACACAACTGGGTGTGGCTCACAGCAGCCCAGATTTTTGGATTACTCTTTGCCTCTTGCCAGCCAGAGGAGCTTATTCAAAAATGGAATACCAAAAAGACTAAAAGAAACCTCCCAGAACCTGTAGCAATCAAGTTCCTAGCCAGTGACCTTGACCAAAAGGTAAGGTTTCTGTCAAACCTTTTCCTTCCCTCGTGACTGTAAGACGTTCCTTCTGGTTCATGTAACTATCTTTGAGCCAGCCCTTGGGAGAAACTCTTCCAACCAACAATTTGTTGTACAGGTGAATCAATAGGAATATTAGTCACTGGAGAGGGGTCACTCTCAAGGCCAGGGTTTTTTCAAAGATAATTTTTAGACCATTAGTGTAGTTAGACTTTTAATTTGCTTATTTAGCATGCCCATCTTCCATTATATGTTTAGGTTATTTATTTATTTATTTATTTATTTTCCTTTTTTGAGATGGAGTCTCACTCTGTCACCCAGGCTGGAATGCAGTGGTGTGATCTCGGATCACTGCAACCTCCGCCTCCTGAATTCAAGGGATTCTTCTGCCTCAGCCTCCCGAGTACCTGGGATTACAAGCACGTGTCACCACGCCCAGCTAATGTTTAAGTTCTTTATCAGCATTGGAAAATAAGATTAATACTGTCTGTCTTGCCTCCTAATAACCTTGTTGATGATGTAAATGAGATCACGTTCATGAAAATGTCAGGGGCCAAGCCAGGCATGGTGACTCACATCTGTCATCCCAGCACTTTGGGAGGCTGAAGTGAGCAGATCACTTGAGCTGAGTTTGAGACTAGCCTGGGCAACATGGCGAAAACCTATCACTACAAAAAATACAAAAATTAGCTGGGCATGGTGGTGTACGCCTGTAGTCCTAGCTACTTGAGAGGCTGACACAGGGGGATCACCTGAGCCTGGGGAGGTCAAGGTTACAGTGGGCTGTGATCATGCCACTGCACTCCAGCCTGGGCAAGACCGAGATCCTATCTCAAAAAAAGAAAGAAAAGAAAATGTTAGGGGCCATGATATATGTGTCTCTGGTTTCCTAGGTCCTAACACAATTTCTCACTCATAGTGGAACCCCATAAATATTGAATGAGTGGAGGGTAGAAGGGAAGAAAAGAGGAAGAAAAAAATATTGGACTGTTGCAAAGTGCCCTACTAGTAATGTAGAGGATTGGCCGGGTGCAGTGGCTCACATCTGTAATCCCAGCACTTTGGGAGGCCGAGGTGGGTGGATCAGCTGAGGTCAGGAGTTCGAGACCAGCCTGGCCAACATGGCGAAACCTCATCTCTACTAAAAATACAAAAAATTAGCCAACTGTGGTGGTAGACGCCTGTAATCCCAGCTACTTGGGAGGCTGAGGCAGGAGGATTGCTTGAACCCAGGAGACAGAGGTTGCAGTGAGCCAAGATCACTCCA